ACAAAATTGCAAGGTGGGAGGTTGTTTGAATAATACCAGCTACAACTCAACTCTGTTTTATTGTTTTTATTTTTAAAGCTCTATTTTTTAAGTAGTTTTCAGAATTTTCTAAAATTAAAAAGTGTTTTTTAAATCATAGTTATATTCGAATCTTTTAAAATACTGAAATATCTGGTAACAGGACTATGGAAATTTAAAAAAAGAACACAATTACACAGCGATATTTTCAACTTCTTTGAAAGAATCTGGATTTAAAAAAGATAAAGATTCCTTTAAAAGGCGTCCGTGCAACAGGACTATGGATAATTTAAGACGGGAAAGAACACAATTACAGCGATATTTCACAACTTCTTTGAAAGAAGTGGACACTGTTCTAAAAGATGAAGCAGTAAGTAAGATTGATTTGATATCTGTATTTAACATATTTAATGATAAAGCTGACAAATTATTTCAGTTAGATGAAAAAGTTGAAGTAATCTGGCTAGAAATGGAAAATTGTAATGAAGATGAATTTTCTAATGATATGGACTTAACGGAAAGCTATCGAAATCATTGGGTTGCTATGAAAACGAAAGTTGATTTAATTAATGTTATCAACCACTGAAAGAAAAGGCGATATTTCCAGTGTAGTAACTGAAACTAAGCGAAATTTCCGTTTTCCTAAGTTAGAATTGAAACGTTTTAATGGTAATATTAAAAATTGGCTAGGATTCTGGGGACATTTTAAAAAAATTCATGATGATGATAGCATTGATGAAGATGACAAATTTCAGTATCTTTTACAAGCAACTGAAGAAGGTCATCGGCTAGAGATTTAGTTGCAAGTTTTCCACCATTTGGCGAAAACTATTGTAATGCTAGTGAACAACTGAAGTTTCGTTTTGCTAAAGATGAACTATTAATTCAAATTTATGTTCGTGAACTTTTAAGTCTAGTTCCAACGCAAGCGAAAAGTGGCGAAAATTTTACTTAGCTGCGAGCGTTAGAGACTTTAGGGGTAACGTCTGAAAAATATGAAGCAATGTTGCATCCTTTAGTAGAATCAGCTCTGCAAGAATTTCTTATCAAGGAGTGGTCTTATCATTTCTTATCAATCTTAACATAACCGTGTAGAAAATAAAGACAAGATGAACATGTTTAGGAAATTTATTAGAATTTCTCCGTTTGGAAGTCGAAAGTGAAGAGCGGTTACAACTTGCTCGATCAGGGTTTGCGAATGATCAATTTGAAAAATTTAAAACGGAAGAAAAATTCCCACTGCAGCTTGTATTGTATCTAATGAAAACCAAAGAGCTGAGAAAATGGCAAGCATTGTTTATTTTGAAACAAGTCGTTTCATAATACCTCAGAATGCTTTAAAGCTGCCGAGATGTCACTGGAGGCGAAAAGGGAAACATTGAAGAAAAGGGGAGCTTGTTTCGTCTGTTTGAAACCAGGACATAATTCTAAGATCTGCAAAGCTTATTTAAAGTGTATTATATGCAAGAAAAAACACCATAGCCTTATGTGTCCAACTAAATCAATCAAAACAAGACAAACAGTCTGAATCGGATGGACAGGTTCTTTTGTCACCAAAAAATTCTCCAACGTTATTGTTAACTGTATTGGTGAAAATCATCAATGATGACAAGTCAGGAATCGTTCGAGGATTATTTGATACTGGTGCTCAGAGATCTTTCATACGAAAAGATATAGCGGAGAAACTAGGATTGAAAGCCGTAGATCAAAAAATGATGAGTCATGGACTTTTTGGCGGCAGTGAAACCAAACACATGCTTCAAATTTAAACCTGTATTCGCTTAGAAATCATGGGGGAGCTACTTAAAGAATAAGTCACAGCTAATCGTACATTTAATTGTACGGGAGTTAACATCTGTGGTCCATTCTTTTTTAAATACAAAAAACCAAGGAAAGGGTTCATATCAAATAGTTTACTTGTGTATGTTCATTAGCATGGTCACTAAGGCCAACCGTTGATCGTGATGGATTGATCAGGGGTACAACTACTGCGAGTTTAACCTGTAGATGATGCTGCTCTTGGCCACTGGCGGTTAATTATGAAAAAAGCGCAAACAGCCGCAGATAAAAATATTTTTCTCTACAACGTTGCCATAGCTCGCTTTGAAATCCTTGAGTTTGTTACTCAAAAATTCGTTAAAGTTTTACAAAATATGAAATCGATAATAAAGCAAATTCCAAATTTCAAATTTGGTTTTCCACATCCCCATATTAGTAGGAGGATTACGTCATTCAAAATTCGAGAGAATTATAGCTGTTCGAGCTTTATTATATGTTAAAAGTGGTGTTTAAAGAAAAAGGATCTAAATCAGTTTTATAAATATCTTTCGGAAGATAAATACGCTCAATTAAAGTCATACGTACGGGAATGGATATCCGTATTTGGAAGTACTTACCAATGCGAAAAGATATTTTTGAAAATAAAGTATATAAAATTGCAGTTCAGATCACCATTAACAGATGACCATTTTCAAGCAATTTTAATAATAGGAATTACTAATTTCGAACTCGAGTACGATGAAATACTATTATCTCAAAAAAAGCAATTACATTTTTCCCTTTAGAAATTTTGAGATATTTAATAATAACATTTTTAATATGTAAACCTTTTTAGTCCAAAGGGGCTTTATTCTTGAAGGATTATTGTTTTCGTTTTGGGATTTTGCGTCGATTCACTACAAACGGCGAATCACTTTTGAAACCGTTGCCACAAAGTATTATCGCCGTGTGTTATATTTAAAGAAATTAAAAAATAACAAATATGCATAAATGAATGTATATTTCTCGCATTGTGATAAAACAACGGTACATAGAGCCATCGAATTTTGAATGTTGTAATCCTACTACCAATATGGGGATGTGGAAGAACAAATTTGAAATTTGGAATTTGTTTTATTATCGATTTCATATTTTGTAAAACTTTAACGAATTTTGAGTAACAAACTGAAGGATTTCAAAGCGTGCAATGACAACGTTGTACAGGAAACATTTTTATTTCTAACGCGCGAGTCTCTGTATCGGAAATTTCAAAGATATACTGATTTTAAAACTATTTTGCGATATTGCTATTGAACTGAATTTTATGGTTTAAGTGCGAAGAACGTGATATTTAATAAATAAAATTAACACACAAAATGTTAAAAAAACGCCCGTTTGGACATAATTTAAAATCTGAAACATTTCAGATATTTTTTTTTATTAGGTTTTTTTAGGGGGGTTAAGAGTTAGTAAAATGTACATATATATTACGTAAAAGTAGCACTGGATAATAAAAAAAGAACCTTTGCTTCCTTCTATGAGAAAATTACTCATTCATATTTTCATGGCTTGCCCAGTCTAAAATTTTTACAAACTGGCTGTTTCTAAAAAATGTATACCGACCCCTGCTTTACACGATGAAATATGGTGAGCATCACAGAGAAAGCACTTGCCAAGAACTTTTCCTTAATGTGATTGATCACTCCTCATGTAGGACTGAAATGATGCGCATTTGATGCGCTTGATTAAAACACATTTTCTGACTGTGCTCATAAGCATTGTCACTTGTGACACTGCGCTGGCCGAGGCGGAATTTTCCGCTCTAATTGAAGTAGAGAAATGAATCAAATGAATCTTAATTGGAAAATATTCTAATAATTTTCAAAACAGGCGACTAAAGAAAATTAAAGATGTATTTAACTTTGTTTTTGTAATCAAAATTAGCTCAAAAAGGTTAAAATTATGGGAATTTCATTGTCTGAAATATGTAAATAATGAATGGATCTTTTCATTGTAGTACCAGTACAGAATTTTATTGTGAATCCTAGAGTCAAAATTAAAAAATATCATTTCATTAGTTTGAAACAAGTTATCGACTCTCGATATGTGAAAAGTTGAAAGTGAATATATTTCTTGTTACCAAGATTAACTCAAAATAGACAAAAGTTCTGGGATACTTGGAAAAAAAAAAAAAAAAAAAAAAAAAAAAAAAAACGAATTATACTTAAGTGTTACACAGAGGAATTAAAGACATTCCTGTACGAATTATACTTAAGTGTTACACAGAGGAATTAAAGACATTCCTGTGATGTGTCCTACTGGAGTAGTATTCAGCACATCTAACTAAAAACTGAGTTCTCAGGCTCGTTTTCCGCCAGTTGCATAGGCAATTTTTCAAGTTTACTGCTTCTTCTTTCTCATATTTCTTTTAAATCGCAATGATCTACTTCTCTATTATTATTTTTTATTATTATTATTGTACTGTGTTAGTTTGGATCTATAAAAAGCATCGGAGAAGAAGATAAAAATAAGCAAAAGGCTATATTAATAGGTTTATAACGTATTTCTTCCGCCTTCTTAGCATGCCTTCGTAGCGTAGCGGTCAGCACGCTTGGCGCGTATTCCAGAGGTCCGTGGTTCGATTCCCGGCAAAGGCGTTGCTCATTTTTCAATCTCTCCTACTTCCCCCCCCCCCAAAAAAAATTCCTAATGTCTCTACAGTGGCGCTCGAACTAAAAAGGGTGGTGGATGATTATTCTCCACAGCCAGGATTTAGCGACTGGGCCCCCTAAAACCCCCAGTCGCCCTTTAAAAAGGGGGAGTATATAATGTATTTCTCCCACCTTCTTAGCATGCCTTCGTAGTGTAGTGATCAGCACGCTGGGCGCGTATTCCAGAGGTCCGCGGTTCGATTCCCGGCGAAGGGGTTGCTCATTTATCGTCTGTCTTGCTTCCAAAAAATCCTAATGTCTCTACAAGTTTAATGAAGCTTAAAACTTGCTCATTTGTCAAAGCCTTACACTTGGCTGGTCTGCTTAAGGTTCAGGCGCAAGTTCATTAATTGGATTAATTGGAATACTAACTCGCTTCATAATTAAAGTGCTGATTCAACCGTAAAAGAAGTTCTGCCGTTCTCTAACAAGAATTCCACAATAGCACAAATCGAAAACTTTTTTCTCATTCTTAGGTGGAAAAAAAAATTACGAGGCAAAGGTGGTACTCACCGCTGGTGTTCCACTCCCCCGCATGCTCTCCCTTCAGCTCCCCCTTGAGGCACTTCTCGATGTGCGTGAGGGGGTCGTACTCGGAGACAAGGATCTCTCTAAGTAGGGCGATGTAGGCGATGGCGAGGCGCAGGGTGTCGATCTTAGATAGCCGCTTCTCAAAAGGGAAAGTGGGCACATGGCAGCGCAACTCGTCGAAGGCGCTGTTGATGCTGAGCATGCGCTTGCGTTCCCGAATGTTCGCCGCATGACGCTGGACCTTGTACGGGCTTCCGGGAAAGCCGGAGCCGTAGTCGCCACCTCCGCAGTAACTGCCGTCGCCGTGCACTCCTGAAACAAAACAAACAGAACATTACGGCCGAAAATGGAACGAATTGCAAATCATCTCAATCTTAAGTTGCTCGGATCTTTAAAATTCGAAACAGCCGTATCCTTCATAATAATCAGTAATACCAGTATTATTATTATTATTATTTATTAGAGTAGTTACGGTATGACGATGTTACAAATATTAATAATATATATTAACAATAAAGGTAAGAATGATAATGATAATAATAATGACAATTATAATAACGACATTTATTTAATGTTAAAAGTTTCTAATCAAAGCGAAATTCAGAAGGTGCGATTAATGAAAAACAAATATAAGAATTCAGTTTTAAACAGTATTTCTCCATTTATTAAAAAAGTTACAAATGGAATTTTGTAAATGAATAAATAAAGAATTTATAATTAATAAGTAATGAACAAATGAATTAAATTTAATACTTAAAATTCTTGAATTTTCAGTTTCTTTTTCTCACTAAAATTCGAGAAAAATATTTGAATAACAATTCCTCTCCATCCCATTTTTATTTAGTCTTTTTAAATTGAAACAAATGTAAAGGAAAAATTATTTTAAGTGTTAGTACAGATAATCTTTAGACATAAAACGCTAAATTGTTTCCAAAAAATTAAGAGTGTGGCATTCAGGACCGCCACTGTATGATATTACAGAATGCAATTGCGAATGAGTTCTAATAAATTGCAGCAATTGTGTACCTTTTTAATGATGTCAGTTGAACGTCTACAGGACTTCAATAAAATTAATATTTGCAAAGCTAAAACATTTATCTAAAAATAAATAAATAAATAAATAAATAAATAAATAAATAAATAAGCTTGAAATATTTGAATAGTGAGAAAAAAGAGAGAGGGTACGAATTTGTTAATGTCCCATTTCTCATTAGTACTAATTATTACCCAAAGCAGCTTCAGATCAAAGTTAAATTTTTGTGAATAAAAGCCATGTATAAACTAGTTGAGGATATTCAATTCTAACAAAATGACTTATTATGAAACAGCAACACATAATGGAAACCCGATATGTCCTTTTTTAACCCGGGATGGAGAAAAATACGATAAATGTGAGAAAATCGTTTTAGCCGAGAATCTATTATATATTATAAATAAACAGCTTATTCTAAATGTATAGTATTTATTTCTTTCAATATAAATACACTACATTGAATAATTACTTTTATTTAAGAAAACTAGACATTGTTTTCCCCTCCTGTGTTGAATTCTATTTCACTTTTTGCGGTTCTACTCTACTCTAAATGTAAACCAGCTCCTAGAACAGTAAAGACTGTAAGACGGCTTATAAGAAAATACGTACAGTAAATAAAAATTCAAATGAAGGTTTAAAATAATAGCAGTGACTAGACTTGTGTGCTGTAAAAAGCAGTGTTATTTTGAACAGATTCTGTGTAATTTCCTCTGTGATAGGAATTATGTTGATAATCTTCACAAAATTGTTGAATTAAATGCCAATTTTCGAAGATTTCACTATTCTTTCCTATTGAATTTTGCGTTCCTAATTTGTGATTTGTGGTAAAATTATTATAGGTTAATTAATCTAAATATCAAAAATATTTCTCATTGCTATTATACCTAGCTCTACAACATGAGAACTGAGATTCTGAAACGCCATTACTAAATAAAATTTGTGAGAAACGATAAGAAATCGCACATACACACACAGATACACACAAACGACAAAAAACTCAAGAATAATAGTAAACGAAAGTTGCAAGAAAATGTAAGATATAAGTAAAAAAATATCGCACGTTCCTTGAAGTCCAACCAAGAAGACAGATATGGTCAACCTATATCTGTACTTGTGACGTTGATTGTTAATGAGGAAACATATTTTATATAATTTTATATACAGATGTCATTTTTTTGCTTAAAAAACTGTATTTTGCAATTTTCAGATAAATTTCTTTGCTCTGAAAATTTAGACCAAAGAAGCGTTAGCTCGGATCTCAAATCGGGATTTTGCGTTGAATCCCTGTAAAAAGGCAGAACCATTTTACAAAATGTTGCCGCCAAATACTATCGCCCTGCATTATTTTAAAAGAAATTAAATAAAGGCGAATGTGCTTAAATGTAAGTATTTTTCACGCATTGTGAAAAAACCGACGGAACCTAGAGCCATCAAATTTTGAATAAACTAATCCTCCGCCCGAACATGGGCACCTGGAAGCCAGAATTTTGAATTTAGAATTTGTTTTATTATCTATTTCACGTTTTGTAAAATTTTAATGAATTTTTGACTTACAAAATCAACGATTTCAAAGAGAGCAGCGGCAACACTGTAAATAAATATATATATATATATTTCCAGAGCCAAGATTGTCTTTTGGAAATTCCATAGATATGCTGTTTTTGCATATTTTGTGATATTGCTGTTGAATTGAATTTTATGTGGATTAAGGGCAAAGAACGTGATATTTAATAAATAAAGGCAACACTCAAAATGTTTAAATTTGTTTTAAATAATAATTAAAAAAATACCCCTCTTTGGGCATAAAGCCGTTATCACATTAGCTGTTTGTTGCCGGGACAAAACGTTTGTAGCAACAGTTCTGAGAAACGGCCTTTGGCGAAATAGGGTTACCATCTTCACTTGGCAAACAGGCTGAAAGCCAAACAAGAATCAGTTATCGCTCAGATTGGCGAAAGTGACGTTTCCTTTCAAGTGACATTCGCTTCTTCGTGTTGTTTTGTATCGCTCACACGCTTTTCGTTTTAAATTTTAAATTTGTTTTAAATAATAATTAAAAAAATACCCCTCTTTGGGCATAAAGCCGTTATCACATTAGCTGTTTGTTGCCGGGACAAAACGTTTGTAGCAACAGTTCTGAGAAACGGCCTTTGGCGAAATAGGGTTACCATCTTCACTTGGCAAACAGGCTGAAAGCCAAACAAGAATCAGTTATCGCTCAGATTGGCGAAAGTGACGGTTTCCTTTCAAGTGACAGATTCGCTTTTCCCGTGTTGTATTTTGTATCGCTCACACGCTTTTCGTTTTAAACTTTATTGTTAGTTATGGAAAGTAATAGAAAGGTGATTGCTATCAACGTTAAACTCACTTTGATCTCCACTCTGGCACTTCATGTAACAGATAAACAACACTTCTGGTTATAGCAATCAATTACATCAGTAATAGCCAAATTCTGTATACACTCTAAAATAGTTTAAAAACATGTGCTGGATAGTCTATTTATCACACATCGCTTATGTGTATTTTCTGTTTGTCTGCATTTCAATGAAATTTGATGGCTCACTGGAAAATTTGTGACCTGGTGAAAGCATTTTCTGACTAACTTTATGGCTCATAATTAATGTTTTGTCCATTCAAACAAATGACAAAAAATCTATATGGCTGATATTTACCTCCTCACAGACAGCAGATACTATTTATCAAAATGAAGATCAAATAAAGCATATGAATACATGACAATCAAACATGTGCGAGTTGTTTACTGTCCCATAGAACACTCGGTAGTATACCTAAACACATTAATTATACCAACTCTAGAAATTAGGTGTTCACATCATGAGTTTGTTTTATGATTGATTTATTGAGATTACAGCAAAGCACACTAGGGCTATCTGCCTAAGGGAAGGGATGCCTTCGTGGAGGACTTTCTAAGGGAAACTGGCTCGTATACACGTTACACATGGGGAAAACCACGAAAGCTTCCATTCAGCCAGCCCGTTCGCGGGATTCGAACCTCGGACCGAACTACCAGTGTTCAGCGACTTTACCGCTCGGCCGCTGGTGGGCTCAGTTGGTTTTATGTGATTACCGCAAAGCCTCGAGGGATAACAACAGGAGGGATCCCTTTGTAGAAGATTTTTTAAAACTGGCTCGTATACCAGTTACAAATGGGGCAAACCAAGGAAACGTCATGTAGCCAGCCCGTTCGCGGCATTCTAACCTGAGACAGAACTACCAGTGTTCAACGACGCTTCGGCCACTAGTAGGCCCGTGCACTTAATTGGAAAGTGCAATTCATTGTGTAAACAGACATGAAGGTGATAATCAGTTGTGCGCTGTTTTAAGTAATCAAATGTTATAAATGCACAGCTGTTACATTTCTTATTATTTATTAGTCATGTTTTTATTACGTAGATCATACGTATGATATAATTATGAATTAACCCAATAACAAAATGTGTACACTCTTTAGTACTCAAATACTCATCAATTATTTTTCAACTGATTATTACATACCCATAATAATTTGCAAAGAACTGATAACTATAGTTCTGCCAATTACATAATCGTTATCTGAATTAAAAGTAACTTCAAATAAACTTCTTGGCAATGTTCATTTTTTGTATTCATACATACATATATATATATATACACACATCTAATAAGTCATATATTTACATACAGATAGAGAGATGCGATGTTTTAGAAGTTGTTAATATTATTTTATTAGTATTATGTAATGAATAAGATTTATATTAATGAATGTATATACAAATGTTTTTCATCATGCATAATAATAAATCCATAAATTTTCAATGTTTCAATAGGTAGCATTTCCAATAAAAGTATAGTTTCTAATGTATTTATAATTCAAAAAGTATTTCATTAATAACATGAAAATAATAGACAAATTTAATGAGTATTCTCATTATTACATAAGCTATGCTTTTCTTTTTATGCATCTTTTATGCTGTTTTAAAATGTGTCACTGATTAAGCAGTTAACAATTTAAAAGATAAGTAATAATAGGAGAAAAGCCGCGCATATACAACAACGGATTTTAAAAAATTATTCAACTTAAATTTAAGAAATAAAATTCTATTATATAACAGTGTTATAATACACGATCAGCACGAATACGACAAATTTGGCGAACTTTTTGCTACGAACAATTTGTAACAAATCCGAAATGCAAGAACGTCGTAAAATAATGTCAACTCTGAAATTTCTACGATTACATATTTAATGAAATATACACATTTAAAAAATGACTCAGGCA